TGCTGTTGTCCTTCCGTCCATCGCGCGCAAAACCTTGTTATTTTTTCCATGTTTCACTTAAGGGTGTATTTTAATGAGTTCAGTAAATTGCCTAAGGGACGGTTCTTAAACTGTTACCCTGCAACAGAAAAAAATACTAAGTGGTCTCTAACATTCAGTCCTTTAAGGAGCATAAATACTCTGGAATTGCTATGGTGACAGTGACGTGACAGCTAGTCATGTAAGTTAAGTCTTACTTGGGCTGTATTATATATCAACAAAAAAAAGACTCAAAGTGACTCAGAGAAATGCGCAACTGTGACTTGGAAAAGTAAAACATGAGTAAATCTGATCTACACATAGCTTTAAATATGATGTTACTGTTAATAACTATGGTTTTGTTATCTAACCGTAGGGAATTTTTAGCAGGTAAAAGAAACAAACTGAGGAAGATTTTTTATTTTTTTTTTAACTACAGTATATAAGAAGTTTGCTAAGGTACTTTAAATATTTTCTGCATCTCAAGTTTATCCAAGGAAATTAGCATTATATAATCAAGATTTTTGTATTAACATTAGATCACATAACCACTTGGAGGTGAAAGAGGTCGCTCGTAGTTACGAACTCTGCAGTTCCCCTCAGCTCCGCAGAGCTTTATAACGTTTTGCACCTTATCGGTTTTGTGGAACCAGCTGTTTTCGTTCACCTGCTCAACTCAGTTCTCATAAAGTAGTTTTAGTGAAAAGGCTGTAAAAACCAACCATAAGCTACTTGCTCTGCGTTCAGTGTCAGACAGACAGTTAGCAGCTAGCTGATGAGCATAGTGGAGCGTATAGCAACTAAAGAGACAAAAAACTAAGGGAATATTTAACTTTCATTTACCAGGCGGTGATGACTTTTTATAAATGTTAATGTTCCTCCATCTCTGCTGGTAGAGTAAATAGACAACTGTTTGCTAACACGTTTGCCATACAACAACCTTAGAAAGTGATATGGTCATGTTAATGAATGGTTTCCTCCCAGGTAGAGCACCTGAGATAATGTCTGCAACCGAAGTGTCATGAAAGGAAATTTGCATTTTCTTAATTTGATTGTATATTGCAGATTTTGTAACATAACATAGTACGAGTTACTCTATGCATGGTGGGTTTGAGGGAGGTCGTACAGCCAAGTCAAGCATTGCAAATACTACAAACAAAAAGATTTTGCCTTTTGTTGTGAATGGTTACATCCTTTTTATGTAGTATTGTAGCTTAAAATATCTTCTCCTGTTCATTTTTGTTTAGCAAGCCACTGTCTGACCGGGAGATCCCTAATGACAGGACTTGTATATTACACACCTCAGTATGATTGATATTCCTAACATTTTCATGTGTCCTTGGAGTTGAAGAATTTTTCATTCAGCTGAGATTCATGTGAGTCTAACAATACTGACATTGGCCAAAGGAGTAACTAACACAGTACAGCTTCTAAATGCTCATTCCATGAGTGCTTATTTGTTCACATACGCTGATAAACAACATTTCGCAGAAATGTCACTTTGTCATGACAAGGAAAATTGCCTGTGCCATTTTTCCACATTATTGACTCCAGCTCTTGTGCAACACCTAAAAGGAAGCAAGAAAGAGCTGAGCCACTCAGAAGAGTTCAAGCATTAACACACCTCCAGAATAAAAAAAAGTCCGCTTATGCTGGCACAACACCACTCTGACTCCGGCTCTCCGGAGTTCAGCTGCCATCTCAGTATTTTATGATACAGTTATTGGGCTCTTAACATCTAATATTTATTTTCTCCTAAAATACACACTAGAGTGGAACTGCTCTTAGACCGTGTCTGCTGAATGTTTCAAAAAGCGTTTTTTTTTTTTTTTGTTGTTGTTGTTGTTTTTAACCCATGATGCATTTCTGTTACGGTGAATTTATCATTGAAGTGATCTTGGGGAACCTTTTGGCAGCATTCATCCAAAAATTCCAGAGGTGTTCCCACGCCTAAGCAGCACTTGCTCCTGGCAGAACAGACAGACACTGACAGCCATTCAGACAGGCTTGGAAACGGTGAGCAAACAGCACTTCTCCCTAACAACTTGTTTATGCTGCTACTACCCACTGAGTTCAGCCACAACGTGACAACATGAAAAGAAAGCACAAGTGACAACCACCACCCCTGCCTGTCACACTTGTATCATTTTTTCCCCTGCCTCAGCCATGGGGGGAAAACAGCCAGCTAATGCTCTGGTTTGACAAGCAGGAGGCTTGTGTTCAGCAGAGAGACAGAGGGTTATTATTTGCCTCGCAGTTAAAGATGGTGGTCAACACAGGCTATCAAAACCCAGCAGAGGTTGTTCTGCAGAAAAGGGACAAAGCAGCAGAGTCTGTAAGAATGAGCTCTAATAGGGGGTTTTGCAATGTGATTGATAATAGGAATGCTGTATTGAGAGAGAAAGGGGGCAGTTACAGTAGATTAGGAGGTCAGCTCTGGTAACTTGTCTGCAGGGGTTTTATTTACACACCATAGCTGCAAGCATTTGTATAAATAGCAACTTGATGAAACCCCCTTTGAGATTCTCAGCTGTTTTCATCTTTGTAAACATTCTCATCTGAGCTTCACATGAACTGGCGAGCAACAAATTATAACCGTGGAAATTCTCACAACAATGGAAGCTACTGTTTTATGACTTGGAAATGATAGTCTGCTAATCAGCAAGTTCATGCAGGTGCTGCTCGCTGGCTCAGCTACAAAATCCAAAAGGATTAATGAAAGAATTGTTGACGGCTACATTCTTGGCAGACTATGAAACATGCACAGACATTAACATTCCTCGGATATATCCCTGGAGCACACTCACAAATTATTGTATAGTAGGGATCGACCGATATGGTTTTTTTCCGGGCCAATTCAGATACCAATTATTAGTAATCAAGGAGACTGATAACTGATACAAAACTGCTGCTACATGAAGTCTATGGACACCCTTCGTGGTGGCCAGATGTTTGTTATTTTGTCCACTCCATTTATATCAGTGAATTTAGGCTAAACAACAGAAGCAGCTCTCCGTATATTGCAATACTGTTCAAAAGCTCCAAATACTACATCCTCCACAATGTTCATACAGTTGAATCAACAACTGTCTACAACAGTTTTAATAAAAAACTAAACTTTATAACCTTCATGGAGGAGGATTTAGTGTTAAGCTTAAGACTGCATTAGTTTTAGATGGACCTAATAAATTGCCAACTGAGTGTATATTAGTAATTATCCGGCGTATACACAGGCTGCAAAGTGCCTGACTGGAATTTATTAGTTGTTTTCCGTGCTGTTCTCACCTGGGAACTGCATATATGCATTGAAGTACAGATTCATTTAACAGGTTTATCATATATTATTATTATCACCATATAACATGTTTTATCTCTCCCCTCCCCCCCTGTCTCGCAGTAAGACGTTTACTCAGACTGCATTTAACTGACTGACTGTGCTTTTATCTGATCTGAACAGTTTTACACAAGTAATTTTACAACTGCTTGAATAAAATGTATTTTAAGTAACAGTAGTAAGTGGCTGTTGACATACTGATGCACTGCGGAAACCATACTGTCTCATTTCCAGTTGCCAGTGTTTCTGTATTACTTTTTCCTGCTCTATCGTAACATTTAAACTTGCACTAGTTCTGCTCCAGCACTCAGAGCTCTCTCCTTCTTTTAGCAGCTTCCTGTCTAATTCCACTGTTGTTTACATGCTATTCAGATCTGATCGTTACTTTAGCTTATCAGTTAGCGTTGGCCTTTCTCTCTCTCTCTCTCTCTCTCTCTCTTGCTCGGTGTGTCTTGGATCAACAGATGAACTTGTTCATCAGAGTGTGGTGTTGTTGCGACTTCAGTGTAGAGGACTGTGATGTTTATTGCAACTTTGACGATGTCTGCTGCCTTCACTCGCTAACCGCAGCTGCTCCGGTCTGTGTACACAGTAGCTTTCAGTGTTGATAGGCTGTTAGTAGTGACATGTAACCAATCAGATGGAAGGACATTGCTCAAGACCACACAGTGGTGACTTCTGACAGTTAAAGACAGCTGCATCAGGGCCAAAACTGTGTATTTTGAAGTTAATCTATTTTATCAACAATCAGTTAAAAAAAAACAAAAAAAAAACTATTTTGATCATCGTAAAAAAGGCTGAATATCAGAGCCAATAATCAGCCAGGCCAATAATCAGTCCTACCCTTCTGTGTAGTGTGATGTTTATTTGTTATTACTAATAGCACTTTCACTTTTCTTGCTTTCCGTTGGTCATGATGATTCTGTTTACACTTGGTACAAGTCATATCTTTCTGCTGGAGTTAAGACAGTTTTTGCAGATGGCTTCAGATCAAGATGGTTGATAACGGTGTCCCACAAGGATCACATTGCACCCCATTACTATTTACTTCACAAATTATATTTAGTTGCACTGCTGTGTCCATTTTTATGCTGATGATACCATCTTGTACACCAGTGGTTCTACTGCCAGTCAGGCCTTCTCCAGATTACAGTCTGAATTTGAAAACCTACCTTTTATTAATTTGAAGCTTCTTCTAAACTCCAAAAAGAAAAAAATGTCTGCATCTCACAGGAGCACAGGGCTTTGATGTTAGTACTTAAATCTGAACTCTTATTGGAGATTTAATAGTGTATGCATCACTTTTATGTTGTACATCTTTACAACAGAATTAAAAGACACCTTATTTTGCTGCAACAAAGGCTGGGGTCTAATCTCTCTGTTGTGGAATAAAGTGTCTCATTGGCCTTTTACCTAATCATCATCTCTCTCTCTCTCTCGCTCTCTCTCTCTCGCTCTCTCTCTCTCTCTCTTCCTCTTGGCCTATCTCTTTCCGTCTCTCCTGCTCTCCCCTGTCTACCCGAGGCCGCCTCTAATCAGCAGGCCTTGAGCTCTCAGAAAGGTCACTCTGTCCCTTTGATGGTGTTTTGATTCATCCCTTCGTCTTCTCTCCCCTCCCACCCTTCCCTTTCACCCCTTTCTCTCGCAGGGAAGCTGGAGAGCCACTACCACCAGGGTGCCAAGAAGGGGCTGGTCCCATCAGCTGCAGAGTGACGTCAGAGGAGAAGCTGTGGTGGAAAAACAGCCTGATCTCACGGGAACATGGCAAATTATGTTCTCCAAAAAAAAGAAAAATGGCCACATTCCCAACATTTTATTGGGAGTTGTCAGTGCTGACACAGGATCATTATCTGCTCTGTCTCTGTTTTTAATTACTGACATTTGCATTTTACTTAAGAAATACTGCTTTAAAGTATGTAGTACATAAATATATATTATCATTTTGACAAATTCTGCATTCTGCGTTGTCTATTTGATTATTTGCACAAATAAAAAGATCTTTAGGTTTATTTTTGTGCGTCTTTTATTCCAATTAAAATGGGATTTGACAGAATGACCAAAGCGATGCTCCTCCTCTCTCGTCCTCATCAGAGGGGTCCTCTCACACCTATGGCCACATTTAGACCAACAATAGAGCTGCATTAACAGCGTTCTCATTCATTGCAAAGAGACCATTGCATTGGCGTGGGAGGGGGTGGGGGGTGGAGCAAAGAAGTTGATCCAGGATCAACAATGTAATCCAACATACTCTGTGTAGACTAATCAAATACATGCCTGTGCACTTGTGCTGATTCTGTTGTTTACCTCACAAGCGTTGAGCAGGGGGAGAAAATTATTACTGTTATGCATTTTTTGGACGCAGGGATATTTTCAGTCTAAACAGCATGGATTATCAAACCTGAGTCTGTGCTCCCTGCTCACCACCACAGAAGTTTTAACCCGGTCTGACACTGCAGTTGTGTTTGATTTAGCGACACCTGTGGTCATTGGTGTAAATTTTCTAAATAACGTAGTGGCCACAATGGAAGGTGGAGTGAAAAAACATGTGTCAACGATAAGGGGAGGCGGGCTATTGTTTACAAAACAGGAAAGGGTTAGTCGCTAGAGGAAGAAATTAATAATGTTGCACTCAGTTCTTCACACCAAAAATGACACAAATAACTTTGTAACAAGTGAAAAAAAGAGAGCTACAGTGAGGATCTCTCTAGCCGGCCAATCATGGCGTGAAGTGGGTGTGAATGTTGGATCGTTAGTTTCAGAAAGTTGCACAAGTGGCCAGGACATAAATCCCACTTAAATTCCACTCGGGGCAGGAAATGTGCTTTGAGCAGTTACTCTTTTCAGCTATAATGCTAATTTGAGGCCTTCTTTGTAAATCACTGTAAGACACAAAAACCAAGAGGCTGTTACACTTTACAAGAAAAATCCTGATTCTGGTGAAATATGAATAATCACTTTGTGTGAACTTTTTCTGCATTAAACCAGACTACGACCTTTCCCTAACCTCACCTAACTGCTGTGAGCGCCTAAACATAACCATAAAAACGTTTAATAATTCTGTATGCTCTATAAGCAGATTTTGTACTTGATTGGATATTTAGGGAGGAGTCAAATATGCTGTCTGTGAACATTTTACACATATGTTCAGTATCAGCATATTTGCAACTTGCCAAAAACATTTCCTTATTACGCAATTAGAAAATGTTTCCTACAAAATGTATTTGTTGTTGCAGTTTAGCTGTATACATATATATATATATATATATATTCTAAGTCTATATATATATATATATCACCTTGGGGTGTAGGTCCATTCTTGTTTTCCAAATTTCATCCAGTTCATGAATGTGTTCTTTCCTTTCATTCTCTGGTGCATGATAAATCCACCACTGACCATACAAACTATAGAGAAGTAACTAATGAGTATAAATACATTTGATTTCTATAACAGAATCAATACGAGCCGTAAATAGCATCAGAAATCAGGTTTGATATGATGATCATCTTAAGGACGCAATGTTGTGGCAAACAACAAGAAGCCTAACATGCACCGACTACTATCGCTGAAATAAATTCTTTACACCTCTTGAAGGTTCTTCTGTGCTCATACTCAAGTGCACAGAAGGTTTTTGACATTTTTATTATTAAGCCTTTCCCGTGGTTCAAGTGCTGCTGTGACAGGCTCTGATTTATATTCTGCCGGTGTAATCTAATTTTGTGTTTCCACATTTTACCTGTTCTTGCAGTGCTGTGTGCTTGTTTCCTTCCAAATGTGTTGAGTGGCTCTTTGACTAAGCTGTTTCTTGCCTGAGGGCGTATTTCACCATGGTTTTGAAAAGTGAATCACCAACACACACACCCATCCAGAGTTGTTATGTTTTTGCCTGTGCCTAGCATTGTAATTCGCTGTTGATTATCTTAGATTTACTCTTGTTTGAGTTGCAGATTAGCTACAACTCTCTGCTCCACTCCATTCAGCATGACAACGCATAATTGCACCAGCCCTTCCCAGTAATCTCCCACCCAGAGAATGTAAGAGGTCTCTTTTGTAAAGTTTCTCCATAGAAGGTGGGTTTTTTTTTTTCAGAGAGGCTGTTTAAGAATTTGCTAAATTCAGCCTCCAGTGAATCAACGATGACAGCTCCTTGCCCTGTGGGTGGCCCTTCCTTCTTTCTTCCAAATCTGGGCCATTTCTCTGAATGAGAACAGACATCCAAGTTCACATAAACAAGGGCTCTGTTCTGTTACGCCGAACAATTAAGCACATGCAGTTTTTACTAAGCCTCTTTAGATAAACACCATGAGATCATGTGCTGTTGGTTTTTCATGCACAAAAGATGATGTGATGCACTTGTGTGAGGAAAATGCTCTAGGTGATCCATTTAAATAATAAAACAGCCATGCTGTCTGAGCTACACTGAGCTTCAAGAGAGTAGAGGCTAGCAGCAAATTATCCCGTTTTTAAAGGAATAGTTTGACATTTTGGGAAGTATGATCAGAGTTAAATATGAAGCTACAGCTAGCAGCCAATTAGCTTAGCACAAACAGGGGGGGAAACCTAGCCTGGTTCTGGTTAGCTGTTCCAAAGGTAACAAAATCCACCTTCCGGCTAGAGGTCTTCATTCAGTTTTCACTTCTGAGAACCCAAGACCTTCCCAGTACCAAAGATGGGCCAGGTCCACATTGTGTTCAGTCTAATCAGTCGGGTCTTGTCTCGTTTTTACTGCCATATGTCTCTGTTCTGTGTGTTAGTATGTCCAACACCAGAGTGGATCTCAATGGAGACAAGCAAACACCGGATCTGGTGTGTTTTGAGGGAAACTGTGAAATTCACTGTTTGGATGAGGAAACTGAAGCCAAGTTTATTTTAGGAAGATCAGTAGTCTGCAAGAATTGGACTGAATTTCATTCACAGATATTAAACAGGTTAGAAGATTGCGTTTTGTCTGTCACCCAGTCGGCTACAGAGTGTGTTATCGCTGGTGCAGGGGGGAAATATAGGACGTTCAGTTATTTATATACATTTGTCTTTTACTTTCCATTTATTCTTAGGACATCATCTTTATCATCATATTGCTGCTCTATTCCACTGTGGCTGCTTGTTGATTGATCGAAATAATTGATAGCGGATCATGTGAAGACTTTTACTACCAGCACCTCTAAAGCTCACTAATTATAACATGTTATATCTCTATGTTTGCTCAATCCATACAAACACCCAAGTGTAAAGATGACAGTTCCTCCATTTTACAGGGATTTATGTGGCCATGGAGCCAACAAATAGTGTGTTTACATAGCCCCCGTAAAACTGCAAAATGTTGCTTTTACACTTCAGCGTTTGGATGAATTACACAAACAAGATCTAGCAGTTGAATTAGTGAGTTTTTAGAGGTGCTGGCGTCTGGATTCTGTTACCTTTGAACAGAGCTGGGCTGCTCCTTTTTCCCTCTTTCTGGTCTGCTGGATGTAGCTTTGTAATTAACGAACACGAGAGTGATATCAATCTTCTCATCTAACTTTCCACCAATAAGTGCATTTCCTAAAATGTCAAACTTCTGCTTTAAATCACACCGACCGACTATCAGTGGTGTTTTTCTGCTTGATCAGTGCCTGAGGCTTCTTCTGCTACATCACAAACCAGCCACCCTGCTGTTAATGATGCTGGTGGATAGGGGAGAGGAACTAATCAGAGAAGATGAAGCAATATAACACGCAGGGCGTCATCCAATTTTGAGCACCACCTGTTTCAGGAGTAAGAGCCCCAACTAAAATTCTTGTCACCATCCAACTTTCAACCAGTTAGCTAAGGTTTTAAATTAAATTACACATAAAAAAAAAAAAGGTAATGTGTTTATTCATCATTTGGGCTGAAAAAGATGCCCAGCTGAATTTCCTGATTGAAATGAAATGCAGTTGACTCCAGTCCAACAGTATGCCCCCCTTACCATCAAGCCAAGTTTCCAGTTGTAGAAGCAGCAGGACCTTTGTGTGCTTGCTGAGAGACTGATTGGACGGAGGGCATAGGGTCCACCCCCACCCACCCACCCCCATCCCCACAGGCCTGGAAGATGAATTAGGCTTTGGAGCACTTTAGAAGAGGTGGTGGCAGGCGGGGGAACAATACAACCTGGGACCGGCTTGTGGGTCATCCATCTCATAATCTGTCACAGAACGCTGCTTGTCGAGTTAGGGTGGATGCACAAAGGAAATATTTAGAAAAGGATATTGGTTCATTGAAGACAATTTGACAGCAGACTTTTGATGCACTGAAATCCTTGAACAACAACATACCAGCCACAACAACATCTCAGGACTTCAAAGACACAGCGCCTCACCGTTATCACCAAGTGGTAAATGGAGTGCACTTTTCTAGTCTTATTGGCCACTCAGAGCACTTTACACTACAATCTAAATTCACCCTTTCACACACATTCATACAGTGGTTTTTTGTAAACATACAGCACTTTTTTTCTGTCACTCACACACATTGGGGGTAATTTGGGGCTCAATATCTTCCCCAAGGAATTGGACATGTGGACTGGAGCAACCAGGAATTGAACCACTGACCTTCTGATTAGTGGACAACCCGCTCTAATGGCCGACAGGAAGTAATCTCTGCACTCTCCTGTAACCTTGATGTAGGAGCAAGTATTATGGAATTTGGAAGTAGAGCAGGATTCCTTCCCTGCTTGCTTTTTGTACCGTCTCCAATGTGTGTCATTGTGTGTCGGCTTTGATTAGTCCAGAGGTCTAAGGTGGGCCCCATCTGGGTGGGTGGGTGGGGGGTGGGGGTGGGTTCCCTTAAGGCAAGTGAGTAAAAGAGAGAGATCTAAGACGTGGATATCTGCATGTGTTGTGTGTTCACGAAGAGCAACGACCTGTTTGCCCTTGAGGTGTGGGCAACAGTAAATGTTAACTTTATAATACAGCCCACGATTTACAGTGTAATTTCATTGTATGAATCAGGCACCAATAAACTACTTCTTCT